CAAATACCAATGGGTTGGAACTCTCACTCTCAGTAAATCCCTATCAGTAAGTTCTATCTCAAATCCCAAAGAATATGGGGGATAGGAGTGGGTATCTGAGTTAATAAATCTCTAGTGATTAGGACTGAAGAGGCCTGCTTCAATTCACACTCCCTATCATTTTCCTTGCCCAATCCCAAGATTGTAGGGGATAGCTGAAGAATAATAAGATTCCAGCATGCCTTCCATGTACTTGGCCAGGGCTAGTATCTAAGAGTGCTTTCCTGGGTTGTTTCCTAGTGGTAATGGATTGCTATATCTATGTTGATTTTCTCATCCTTCCTGAAGAGTAACTTTCTCAGGTCTTGGCTAGGTAATAATGATAAGAAGGGCGGTAGTACTGTTGGTTTACCCCCAACCTGTCAAGTGAGCAACTAAGTTTACACAATCCATAAAGCTATTACACATAGGCATACCAGAGTATACACTTCATGTCACTGCTTTTTAGAAAAAAAATAAGACATCTGAAGGTTCTCAATAATCATCAAATTTATAGAACAAAACTGACTTTCATTCAGAAGAAATCCATGCAATGTTGCTTATAGGCACAGATGTTGGGGTTTTTAATAGCTCTGTACTAACAGAAATTTTAACCAAATATAGGTTTTAGTAACTGGAATTGTTACAGAATATGTTTTCAAGCTTAATAAAACAAAAAGGAACAATAAAATATCTAACATTTGGCCCAAGTGATAAACCATTTTCCCCTACAAGTATTTAAAGCTGCTTTTCATTTTTTTTTAAAATAATGAATTAAAAGTACTAAAAGCCAAAACTTTCTGGCCCAAATGACAAAGCATTCTCTCTCAAAAAGGAAGAGAAATTAATACATTTTCTCAGGGTGTGAGGCAGAACACATCTATTAAAAAACATTTCCCGTCTTAAATGGTGTTTAAAAATTTACTTCCTTCCTTATGGTTCAGTGGAACAACTTTTGGCCAAACTAGTGAAAAAGTAAAACCCACTTCTCAATGGGAAATTTAACCCATTTATTTCTTCTCAAAGTAAAAATGTTGATTTTCTATTGAAAGAAAAGAAGCTTAATTTTAAATACCTAAAAGATTTAACAGGCAGCACCGAAAGATATATCAGCCTCCAAATCAGCACAATCTTGGTGCAAGTTCTATATCTAACATTGGATGTTTGACCTTGACCAAAAGTCACCAAACCTCAGAGTATCCCACGTGTCTCTTTAAGACTAAATGCACCAGTAGAGAAGTTTCTTCATGTGGAGCTTCCTATACCACTGAAATCACAGGTCCATACAGAAGCAAAGACCAAAAAAAAAAAAAAAAATGAACATGCCCAGACTGGGGTTTTTTTTTTCCTGTTCCACCTCTCTCACCTCCCTATCCCTGCTTCATTCTTGTTCTTTTATAGAACTATTTGCCACTGTCATTAATTATTGACCATTAAATATAAACTTGGTAATGTATTTTCATTTTATTAGCAACAAGAAAAGGAAAGTGAGAGTAAGAGAACCAATACATTTGAGTCAAAAGAACTATCATCTACCTGGTTCACCTAAGACGAGTTGCTACTTCTTTTCCCTTGACCTGTTTTCATACGATGAGAGGAGTTTATGCTATATGATCTTTATCATCCCTTCCAGATCTAAAATCCTCTGCTCTTAGGACTGTGTATTTTTCATTTTAAGAATTTTATGAGGAAGAAGATATTTTAAATTCACGATAGCTATCATAGCATAGTGCTGGAAAATGAAAAATCAAGAATCCCTAGGTGTTGCGCAGTGGTTACTAAATTATAAGCTTATCTTTTATAAAAGAAAACCTTAAAAGGAAAAAGGACACATAAAACAAAATTGGTTTGATCCTCAACACAGAACTTTTCCACCATTTAAAAAATTAGGGTAGAGATGTCTATCATTTTACTACATTAAGTAAATGCCTGGTACTAGCTGGCCTATATTTAATTTCTGAGAGTTTACTTAGGCACATGCATTCTAAAGAAGACTGAAAGTTTAAGTCTGGATCCCTCTATATATTACAGCAAAGATTATTCTAGATTTTATCCTCTTTTTCCTTCATGTGCTAGGGAGCCTTCTCTACTTGCCTGAACACGGTAACATGAACCTTAATTAAATATTGTTTGTAAAACATTACAGGAGCAGAAAGGAATTTCTTGCTGAAGACTTATTTTTCACCCTTTCTAATTACATCCCACTTCAATCCCTCCTCCCCTCCCTCTGTTCTCCTCAATATCTAGTACATGAAGACTTTTGCAGGGAAACTCCACTCATGTACTTGATTCTCCTCCCCATATATAAAAAAAACAAAAAACAAAAAACGTTACTGCTATTCTATTCTCAGCTTGTGTCCTTGGATATGTTCCCTTCTAGAAGGAATTGTTAGGAAACTACCATTCATCTCACTGGTATATAATGACTGACCATAATGCATCCAGATGAAAATGCCACTCATTAATTTGCACACATGCCTTTCAAATCTGGGGTTCAAGTTGTAAGAAAGAAAATAATGATGATGATTCTCTTGTATATACAGCAAGCAAATAGGGCCTGAAAAATATTGCCCTGAAAAAAGGACTGATTTTTTTTTAAATCACATCCTATTCATGCTTCCCATTCATCCTTAAAGAGAGTTCTGCCAGGGAATCCAAGCTAACAAGATGGCAGGTTTGGGGTCCAAGGAGAGAAAGGGAAAGGCAAACCTTTGGAGACAATGGTTCTCTATTTAAGCAGAAGGTAAATACTGTACATTTTCTTGAGCTAAGAAACATGCTTCATTAGACAGCCATTTTGTTTTCATAGACTTTCTCCTCTGAAGATCAAAGACTATATGTAAACAAATTGATATTTCAACATTTAAGTTTGAGTTAAGAGAAACTTTTTTAAAAAATGATACTAAATCTCCTAAACTCAAATTTTTTATGGGAAAAAAGCAGTCTATAATTTAAGCTCTCTCCCCCCCTCCCAGGATACGGGGGTGTCCAGTCCTGTGATTTTTATCAGTATGAGAAACTCTTACCTCCATTGATACAGATGAGAAATTCCTCTGTATTCTATAGCCTACTATAGTTGCCTGAGTACACTGAGAGGTTAAGTGACCTCCATGTGGTCACATATGAGTCTGAGGCAGGATTTGAATCCATGTCTTCCTAACTCCAAGACTGACACCCTAGTCACTCCACCATGTTGCCTTTTAAATTTTCCTTATAAGCTATGACAATACTGATTTAAGATAATTCTTGTAGCTCTGGTACCATATTTCCCTCAAACACTGCCAATAATTGCCAAAATTATATGACTTTCCAAAGCATATGGATGAAAAAATCCTTTTGAAATTGTTACATTTTAAGTTTATCTTCAAGGTCCCATACCTGTTAGAAAGTGGGAATAATAATTTAATTTCTCTAATACCATTCAACGTCACATCACTTTGAGGTCATGCCAAAGGAAGAGTAAACTTCAAGATGGTTCATGTTTCAGAACTTCCCTCTCATTTAGCTTCTTTTTTTTTTAATTTAAAAAGTTTTTTGTCTCCAGTAAACCCACCTTCTCTTCTCCCTACCCCCCCCCCTTTTTTTTTTTAACAGGGCCTTCATGTAGATAGGTCATTGTATCATTCCAAATTTTAATAGAAGCAATAAATAGAAGAGATGAATTAATTGAGATACTTAAACTGGATCCTTATACACTCAGCATATTAAATTCAAAATGAATGAAAACAGCATTATTTTATTGCAATGCACGATCAAGCCTACCTCATGTTGTCTACGATGAGAATGAACACTGACCTTTCGGGAAATAAAGTCTTTACATAGTAACCAGCTCTACAGAGGCAGGCAAAAGCATGCCCGCTTGTGACCTTAGCACTGTCACAGGTGTCATACCTGAAAATGACATTTGACGCAACCCAATTCACAAACTTTTATTAAACACCAAGAGACACTGTAATCAACACTAGGGACATAAAGTTGAAAAATAACATGGTCCCTGCCCCTAAAGAGCTTACAGTTTGTGAAGGAGGAAAATATATGTTTACAAATATGTATAATACAAAATAGAATGTGATAGGAGTAAAAGAGGTCTAGACAAAATGTGGTTAGGAAACTGGAGATATCAAACATGAACTCATTTATAGTTACAATAAATTCTGGTTTTAATCCAATAACAAACCCATCCCTTGCAGGAAAAAAACTGTCCCCCAAAATGCAAAAATTCTCATTAATTTGGGAAAGAGTCATAGAGAGTTGAACACAAGACATGTGACTTCTTTAAAGGATTAGTTTAATATTTTAAAGAACTTAATTGCATTATATTTATATTTAAGGAAAAAACAACAATAGTAAGTATGGTTTCCCCAAGTATCTAATATTCCCTGAAACTAAATTATTTGAATCAATTAGATCACAGTAGCAGCAATGAACTCAATGCTATCCTAGTGGCCTGAAAGTTACTGTGCTTTCCTTTGTGCTCAACCGATTCCCAGAGAACAAAAGGCACTGAGGAGAACTGGGCTCATTGCATAACATTCTTTGCCTCCCTATTTTTTCTGATCTTAAAAGCATAGAAGGTCAGAGTTAGAAAGAATCTCAGAGGTTATCTAATCCAACCCTTTACCTGACAAAGGAGTGTGCTCTACACCCTCTTCTAGTCCCTTCTGACTCATGACAACGCTAATACTCGGTCCCAAATATTTCTCAGCTGAAGGATATTGAAGATGATCATGCAGACTAAGAAGAGAATTTTTTTTTAGATGTTGTTACCTTTATCATTTGCTAGCATATTTAACCCTTTGTTGTTGTCAAGTTGTTCAATTGTGCCCAATTCTTCATGACCTCATGGACATGCCAACAATGTCTATGGATTTTTCTTGGCAAAGATAATGGAGTGACTTGCCGTTTTCTTCTTCAGTGGATTAAGACAAACAGAGGTTAAGTGACTTGCCTACAGTTGCACAGCTAGTAAGTGTCTGAGGCCAGATTTGAACTCAGGTCTTCCTCAGTCCAAGCCCAGCACTCTATCAACTAAGCCACCTAGCTGCCTTAACCCATTATAAAAGCAGGACTAGTAAAAATGGCTACCGCATCATAAGGCTGCAATAGAAGAGCCAAGGACAAGAAAATGGATCCACAAGTATGGGCTTTCAGTGAGAAACCATGGGGAAAGGCCATGGCGTAGCATGGAGTGGGCCAAAGTACTCAAAACTTCTGGTTCTTGGTAAGTAGGATGAGGTCAGGTATTAGCACAGAATAATTGACTCCTGCTTCCCAGTCAGCTGCATAAGGGTGTGCCTTTGAGTCTAAGTAAATCTCATTTGTCTGAAATGACATAGAAACCAAGAGAAAATATCTCCCCTTACCAAAACTTCTTTAGTTTTATCCATGTGTCAGTGCATTGCAATGTCTTACATGTAGACATGCTATCTTTGCTAAACTATTCACTCTAGAAAAGCATAACACAAAATGGGACTGCTTAGAATCATGGAATGCAAGAAATGGAAAGGGTATCAGTGACCTGAAGGAAGAGACTGAACGTCTCTCGGCCTCATTTACCTTATTTGGAAATGCTCTGTATACAGTGGAGCACCATTGAGCTTCATATGAGCTATTGATATCATCTAGCCCAACCTTCTCACTTTATAAAGGAGAAAATTGGGGCCCAGAGAGGGGAAGAAAATTTGCCCCCAAATCCCACTGCTAGCTACTAACAGAGCTTCTTCTACATTTTTCATCATTCCACAATCTAAGTCCCCTGTACTAAAGCCAGGATGAAATTCCTTTCTATCCCACTGCACACACAATAACACATTTCTTTATCAGTTTAAGTTGTACAAAGCACTTTTCCTCAAAACAGTCTTATGAGATAGGTGGTGCCAAGTATTATTGTGCCCATTTTACAGATGAGGAAATTAAAACACAGGATTAAATGATGATAAAGTGACTTGCTCATGGTCACGGACACATCCAATAAGCATCAACACTGGGACAAAAATTCAGGTCTCCAAATTCCAAGCCCAGCAGTCTTGTAACTATCCCACAATGTGCACAGGTCTTGGTAATTTTCCCCTTTGTACCTCTGATCAGGTTATTCTTACTTCCCAGGATATTTTAATATAACATTGCCCTTTATGGAGAGAAAAAAATGTTTTATGCTAAAAGACAAAATAACTAATACAGAAAGATCTAATTACACTCTAATGCTAAGAACCTATTCCTTTTACTGTGATTAATAAGCTATTTTTCTAAAACCTTAACTAACATCAATCAAATCCATTGATTAAACCTATTTCCTTTTAAACAGTCAAGAGTTTGCAGAACTGGGTGGCAAAAAATTCCCAAATAAGTACTTAGATGTTTTATTGCCTTTATGTTTCTTGTTTTTTAGAAATTAGCACCCAGTTATACAAAGTTGATTAGTCCAGAATTTTTCCAAGTATAAAAGTTTGGCCGATGAATTTTTTTTTTCCAGGATCATCATCCATTTCCCCTTTTTGAAAGAAAGGCACTATCTGTGCCCTTTTTCCAGTCTTCAGGCACCTCACCAGTCCTCCACGAGTTCGCAAAAATGATATCTAGCGGTTCTGTGATGACTTCGGCCAATTCATTAAGTACTCTAGGATGCCAGCCATTGCGACCTGTGGATTTGAACATATCTAGGTTATTTAAGTTATCCGTTCCCAAGTTCTCCCCTATTCCAGAAGGGCTTCCCATAGTTTTCTGTTCCTGTTTTTAGGTGACACAAACTTTTTGTAAAACACAGAGGTTTGAAATTAAAAGTATCTGCTTGGTTTCTGCTATTAGTTTTCACAGCTAGTAAAAGGAAATATATTTACTATATTTTTTACTATATAAAAGAGTACTACATAAAGGAAATATTTCCATAAAGGAAAATTTTTCCTTAGGAATTGTTAGAAAAATACAATTTTCAATGTTTCTTTTTATATTTCTTAAAAGTTATCAGTTATTCATAAGGAAATAGAAAGCATGTAACAATATAATTCGATTACTCTGTAGTTAAAATTTTGAAAGTCACATCACTGCAGAGTACTCTAGCAGTTCTTATTAGCACCCTGTCTGTCAACATGATGGGGAAAATTCTGAAAGGCCCATATATTGCTATTTGCGCCAGTAACTTTCAAAGGAAATCAAACTTACAAATGTCAAGATGAATCATATACAAGCTAGCTACTTGTGATCGCAATCCTATGAGCATAACGGCAGTCACTTTTCCAAATAAGTTTTTAAGCATTAATGACAGTTTAAAAATATGTAATAAAAATATGTAATTTAAAATATAATATGTTTAAAAGGTATACTCATATGAGAGCCTGGAACGGGTACATTTTTTTTTCTTTAATGCAGATACCATTGAGATTTCATTTGTTATGTGGTTATCAAAACTGATGTTATCAGGGTTTATCTTACATTCATTTTCTCCAAGCACTGTTAGGTGTTGACAGTTTTAACCCCTTTACTCCCTCCATGATCCCTGTAAAATTGAGGGAAAGGCACAGATGACATTCTGCTGCCTGTCATGGCTGAAATGAGTGCTAAACTCCCTGGACAGTTCAAAAATGGCACAAAGGGAAGAGAGAGGAGAAAGATCAGAGGAGAAAATAAGACTATTTTACACAATCTTGGGACTATTAGTAGGATGGACAAATTTGGGTAAAATTAATACTATTAAAGTAAATAAAGTAAAGGATTAATTGAAAAAATATGTAAAAGGCAAATTGCCATTATTTTCCTGCCCCAGGTTTGGTCTAATAATGATAGTTTCAAATATATTTGCAAAATACCTTCTGTAAACATCAGTCATTTTTAAAAATCCTTTTTAAAAAAACCACCTGCATATTTCTCTAGGGTGTTATAATTTGTTTCTGTACATGCCATTTACAACATAGCTCCAATAGCCACCTGCTGATAGCAATATGTTAACTAATATGTAGTTATTAATTAGTTTGGGTAATAAGCACATCATCAGCTCATTACACATAAATGGCTAGATGTTATTGCTATACATGCCTAATATGTTTCCTTCTCCAAAGTAGCTGGTGTTTTTCAGATTTATTTTATTTGAGAAATGATAAGCAGTGCTGTATAATAGAGGGCCAGCCTTGGAGTTAAAATGACCCGGGTTCAAGTCCCACCTGTGACAGATGCTGGCTGTGTGACTATCAGCAAGTCACATGACCTCACTGAGACTCAGTTTCCTCATCTATAAAATGGAGATGATACTCATCGTACTTACCTCACAGGGGATGAAGAGGGTCAAATGAGATATTTTCAAAACACTTTGAAACACTAAACACCATGTGTTTTCAAGTCAATTATTAAGTCAACAAACATTTGTTACGTGTTTACTATGTGCCAGGCACTATGCTATGTACTGGGCATACAAAGAAAGGGAAAAATAGTGCCTATTCTCAAGGAGTTCACAGTCTAATGCTTTCATTACTTTTAAAACTAAAAATGTTAAACGTGCAACTTCTCAACCCTGGTAAATGGCTCTGACAAGCTACTGGGATAACCTTCCATTCAAATATTTCCTACAATATATTATGAAGAAAAAGGAGGGAAAAAAATCTCTTTCTTTTACTTTACTAACCCTAGGAGTGTGGCCATAGTAGAAGACAGAAGGCAAAAGGAACACAGTCACAATAACCAAAAGAAAGTTTAAAATGTTATTTATTATAAATGTTTTCTGTAAATGTATGAATTGAAGGGCAGGCTACCAAAGAATCCAATTCATTATATGAACCAAGACTATTCATTCTTCTGAAGACAGAACAAATGGAAACTGTCTGTAAGCTACAGCATGGGAGATTTTAGTAAATTAGGAAAAAGGATATTGAAAAAGTGTGAGAATATGTCACCAAGAAGGGATGGCAAGTCTTGAGAATAATTTTTAGAGACAGCAGAGATTTTTTTAAGAAGCCAGATTTTTGTTTTAGTCCCACCAAAAAGCTGGAGAATGGGGGGGGAAAGACAGGATTTAGAGCTAGAGGTCACCCAATCCAACACCTTCATTTTACTGAGGAGGAAATTCAGGACCAGAGAGATCAAGGTTCTTGGCCTAGGCTGTTCAGATAAGAAGTAACAAAGTAGGGCTTTGAACCCAGGGCTTCCTTCTCCAAATTCAGGGCTTTTAACCCCACGCTGAAAACCAATTACCTGCATCTGTAAAGCAGAAAAATAAAATACTTCCCATTATGTAAGTGAACTAAATATACCTTCCAAATTATGCTTGTCTAAAGACTTCCAGTTATACAATTATTTCATAACCTAGGCAACAAAGTAATAGTCATGTGTGGTTTTACACCTTGTGGTTTAACCAAAAAAAAAAAAATCATACTCATTAAAGGTGGCACAGTAGATAAAGCATATGACTTGAAATCAGGAAGAACTGAGTATAAATACAGAGGCTATATGATGCTGGAGAAGTTACTTAATCTCTCCGGGTCTCAGTTTCCTCATCTGTAAAGAAAAAAAATGGCAAGGTTGGACTTGCTGTCCAACCTTCTTTGCTAAAGAAACTTTAGTTCCAAATCGATGACCCTATAAAACAATATTACAAAATTCTTTAGCATCTTGGGGGAAAGAGTGTTGCTGGGATGGATGGTATTAAACGGGAAAGATGAGATGTACACAAGGGTAGGGAGATATATACATATATATATATTGCCATATAATATACATTAACATTATCATAAATATTAATATATATATATTACCAATATCACTACATCTGTGAGAGTTTAAAGATTTGATGGTAGACTCAAAATCTTGGAGCAATAATTGGCCAATTGCGCCTTGCTTCATGATCACAGCAAAATATTTGTGATTAATTCTCCTTTTGTAAATGCTCTGCTTGCATTCTAGTGGCAGATACAGAACGTGAAATCCTAAAGCTGTCTTGATAGATTCTGCACTGCAGACAGAATAGAAATGAACCCTTTTGATTCTGACAGCCTTTAGGGGATAACTCCTGAAAATTGCTAAAAACAGAAAATCATGTGCTGCAGGGAACATCCTAATTTCAGAAAGCTGCCTCTCCCACCAGAAATTTACATACTTCATTTCACATCCCCCCCCAAAAAAATTACCTACAATTCTCCAACAAAGAAAATAAAGCTCTTTCTTCACTCAGCCAAGAAAAATAATAATTTGTTCAGAAGTGTTTATGTTCTTCTTCCTCAGCTACACGATTAGGCTGGCTTAAAAACCATGGAAGTAATTAACTTAAGTCTGGACCTTCCTCAAATCCCATGAAATTCAACTGCTGGAACACTAAATACAGGCTTGGATTTTTATTTTTAAATATTCCTAGAGTTAATATATTTGTGCATGCATACACAAATTTAATTGAGTAAGAAATCAATGCCAGTAGCTTATAAACTGTATTGGGCACAATTCCTATCTCTCCTTGTCCAGGAAAACACTATTTGACTTTCACTGCCCAAAGCCAATCTATTTTCTCCTACTGCTTTGTTTTATTTTGTTTTTGTTTTGGGGAGGGAGGTTGATGAGAGGTCTATGTAAAAACCAAAACTCAACACTAGTGTGGGGAAAAGGGCATGTTTCTCATCCCCCTGACCTCAGTCACATCAGTAGCACAGTGCCCTCCACTGGGATGCTTTGGTGTGGCTGGACAACATACAACTGCCACATGGATGACAGGTTGGGACTGCCTCCTTTTATTCCACCCAGACTGCTTGTTTTCCCATGTTCTAGAAGTCAAACCAACCAAAGTGAAATTCTTCACTTTGACCTTCAACTCTTCACAAGCTGCCCAGCTACCAATCCCATTCTTCTGTTGGGTCAAAGCTTTCCAAGGCTTCATTTTCTTAGTTGGGAAGAAAAATGACTTCGTGTCCAATATGCATACACACACACACACACGGTAAATTATTAGTCTATGCCAAAAAATGCAACCTGGTAGGTGAGAAAAATAAATTGAAAAAATCAACTGATAAATAGCCTTCACTGGTATATTTTTATAGTGCTTTAAGGTATGTGAACACTTTACATTCATGATTAATGCATTCTATTTTTCCATAAAACTGTATGGCAGGTACTATAGGTGTTATCTCCATTTTACAGATAATGAAACTGAGGCTTAGTGAGGGAAAATTATTTGCCTAGGTCACTTGAAATTGTTTCCAATGTGACTACATCTAATGTTCTTTCTACACCACCACACAGCTTCTATGCTTAAAATGAGATACTAGATTTATTTCTTCAAGCTGCTTTCCAGAAACTCCTATTCTTCACTTTGACCTTCAAGAAGTTCTTTCAAAATTAGACTCTCCTCTCAATGCAAGACTAAATTGAAATTTAAGGGCCAAATTTTTTTAGTGTGCATCCTACTATGGAGATGATTTTCTTCTAAAGGATACATGTCAGATGCAAATGAAGATTTAATTACACTTCCAAAGCCTTTGCTTACCTTGAGAGGAAAAAGAAAAGAAAGAAAGAAAACCTGATCACATAATCATCTATCTTGTTTGTTGTTGTTTAGTCATTTTTCATTTGTGTCCAGCTCTTCACAATCCTTTCTGGGGTGTTCTTGGCAAAGATACTGGAGCAATTTAGCATTTCCTTCTGCAGCTCATTTTACAGATGGGAAAGCTGA